GCTTGGTTTTATAGTTATAAAATTGAATTAGATGTTACTAAGTTTGTGCGGTGCTGTGAAGTTGAAGCCATACCTCATCACGGTGCATTAATGAGTGAGTGCAGTTAATAAAGGTGTGAAAGACACTCTAGGATGGCTTAATCTGTAAATCTGTTATGTTACATAGAGGCAAATCCAGATTCTTTCAGCAGTCAGTCAGTCGTTTAGAACTCATGATAAACTTTGCTTTGCTTTATCTTTTTCAGTATGGATTCATACTGGGGGGGAGGGGGGAAACTTACAGAAAAGCAATACCAATGGATTAAATGCTTGTTGGAGTTTGATTTTGGAATTAATTTTGAAATTTAGTGGATGGTTAATTAAATGTTATGGATTGTCTCTGACAATTTGTGACATTAAAAAGATGCATATTTTTAATTTATACCTTGAGCCATAGTGAGTCCAGTTTAATATCTGCTTTCAGAAAAACTAAAAGTGATCAATATTTGACATGTGTATTTGCTACAAAGACTTTAAAATTAAAATGTGCAGTTCTACTTCTGCCTTCTGTCCTCTCTCCTTTTCTTTTCTCCCAAAGTAGATATACATTTTGATTTTGAATTTTAGGTGATTGGAAAGAGTGATAAGAATGTATGACTGGGAGAGGATGAATACTGAAGCTGCTTCTTAGTAGTAAAATTAATTTTTATGTGGATGTTATATTTTAAATTAGCAGAACCTTGATGGTACTTTTGAATGTGTACTTTTCTGGACTCACATCAGAATATTTCAGTACCAAATAAAATTTCATTACTCAAACATTGCTATAAAGCAACAATGTTTTACAAATTATGAAGATTTATGTAGTTTTTCTTCATACAGCTTATTTTTTAAATTGTAAAAGATGGGAGATGGTGCTCCAGTAAACTTGGCAAATCAGTTATTTAAAAGATATAATAGGAATTCATTTATATATAATAATTATAATGACACCTGCCTTCCTTTCTGTGGCCTACTTACAAAGCATTTGGTACATTTGGTTTTTCATTTGTATCACAGCTGAACAGAACAGACTATTTTTTTCTTCCTCATAAAATTTAGGCCAAAATGATTTGGAAGTTCTTTCCTGTTCCTTTAGTTGTTGGCTGCTTTGAGCTTGTCCTTCTTTATCCTCTATACTTTGTTTTACTAAACTTGTGACCATAATCTCCCAACTTGTCTCCTGTGAAACGCAATGAATTAATACATGTGTCAGGTTAATTGTAGTCAATTTAGTACCTCCGTGCACGCACTCATTCTCTCATTTGGGAAGCATCATGGAAAATGCTTTCCAAATTGCAAAAACCTTCTTTCAGAAGTTCATTTGAATTCAGCTGGAGCTTCTGGAAGCTAAGCAACTGTTGAGAATTAAGCAATTAGCATGCACACTTAAGAAAACAACATCCATGATTATATCTTATATATTGTTCTCACATTATTGATAGGAACTAGTTAAGTAATGCTTATGAATTCTTCAAAAGCAATGAATTATTTTGAAATCATAGTAAAATATGTAAAATCTTTTTTTTCCCCCACTTTTTGGTTCCAAAAGCATTGTGTGGTCCCTTTGGTGCAGAGAAAGTATGCTAGCAATTAGAGAAAGACTGTTTATTTACTGAGGCATTTTCGTAGTTTTGAACAGTAAAATTTCACTGAGGAAAAAAATAAAACTAACATATGACTGCAGAAAAGGAACATGTTCATAATACTGTGAGTTGTTCCTCTCTTCTCTGAAAGTTAGTTTACATTACGCTGAGTTTCAGCAAATGTTTTCATATCTTTAAGTGTTCTGTTCTAATTGAAATATAGTCAGTACTAAAAATGAGTGAGAACAGTACAATTGTAACGTGAGTCTTTCATGGTGGTCCTCCCAGGACTTATTTTAAGATATTAATTTTTTTTTTTTTTTTTTTTTTTTTTCTGCTGTTCTATAATGGTTATGTATATTACAGTGAGAGAGATGATAGTCAAAACATTGACAATATCTGTGGGTGAGCCTTTCTTAAAAAACCTCCCCTTTTTGTTTCTAAACTAGATAGATAATCTAAACTACTACTAGCCCTGCTAGTCTAGCTCAGTTTTGCTGTGTACTCTAGAGACATTTACAAAAACAAATCTTCAAATATGACTGTGGTACCTTTTAGCTCCTATCAGGCTAATTTGCTCTGACTGCACAGGTCTTCTTGAAAGTTGCTATTCAGCTACGGAGTTTTAGAATCAAGGATTTTGTCTTTTTTGTATAGACAAGAACCTTACTACAGGGATCTGTTCATAGGCCTTCTTAAGCCAGGACTGTTACACGTTCATTTGGTACAGCTTGTGTTTTTTCATCTCGATTTTGGACAATTATCAATGTTTCTGATATGTATTTAATTCACTTACCAGCTCCTAGCTGAACTTGTAGCTTCATTTGAGCACTTTCAGATATGTGACATCTGATTTGTTTTATGAATCCTGCTGTTTCCATGGGGGGGAAAGTATGAGAGAACAGAGGATAAAGAACTTCCAGTTGAATAAATCTAACTGTGAGATAGCTTTTTAGAACAGCCACTCTTTTCTCCTTTGCTAGGCACCGTAATCAGTGGCAGTCAGTGTGTCAGAAAATTAAGTAGACGTGACAACCGAGTGATAATATCAGCTGTCTTCCGTGGCCAGAAAATATGTTTGGAATACTTGCTTGCTTTGGAGGACATAAGGATAAATACTGGTCTGAACATCTTCAGAAAATAATGAAAAGTTTCAATCCCATTCAGAAAGAGAGTAGCAGGAGGAAGGAAGCATAACAATTTAACCTTATTTTTTAGCTCGTATCTCTACCCAGGCACAATTTTAAGCATATAAATAGAAAAATGTGGCATAACAGATTTAGTTATTGCTGTCACCTTGGCTAATATTAATGAAACAGCAGTTTAGAAATCTATATCTATAATCTTAAGGAATATTTTAGCAGACACATACAAACAAGGAAAATAATAATGATAGTAAAGCCTTATGTAGTACAGAGATATCTTGTATGTCCATACGTAAACTAATTGGATTCTCTTTTGTTTTTCTATTTCTCTTTTTCACTTGGTTATTCTTCTTTATATGTAATGTAATGAAAGAGCTAACAAATGCATCATTGGTGAACAACACAAAGTAATTTCAGGTTGATAAAGTCAGTTGGTTTAGTGATTGGTGTATTTGCTATGCTTGCAGATTAAAAAAAAAAAAAATTATATCATGTAATCTAATGACCTTGGTTGCTAACTTATATCCTTTTGCTTCTGTGTTTTCATTGCTCATAAACACTGAAGTGGCTCTCAGGGACTTTATTACTGAGGATGAAAACTTAAAGCATTACTGAAACAGTACGTGACTTACCAAGTTAGAAGGTAGTGACTGAAACTGTATGATGATAAGGTATTCTGTGTCCAAGATTGACTATTTCAATTTTGAGCCTCCTGTAGGCATTTTTTTTGTTTTGTTTTCTGCTGTTTATGTGTTTAATAGGTGAGAGTTCTGTTGGTTTCACTCAGTTTCTTTGCCAAATGAGGTGTTCTATATGAGAAGGTCAGCTCATTTGCCAAGTTTGCATTTCCAGTAACGATTTGCACAAGATCAAATTTTGCAATCTGTGTTGTTAGTTTCTAGTAAGGAGAGTGATATGCATCTAAAACATTACCCTGAGGCAGGTAGGTGTTTGCCTCAGTGCCTTATTTCATGTAGGAATAAAACTTCTTTGTCTCATATTAAAAAAAAAAAAATCGGGGGAGGAGGGAGTGGGGGGAAGAGGACGGAGGGAGAGAAATCACTACTCCAAAGCTTTGAAATTATTTTTACAATGACTTTAATATAATATATACTGTGTCTCAGATCCTGAAGTCACAGAAACAGTGTGAAAATCTAGTTTCCGTTTTACTTTTCCTGGCCTGATTTCAAGTCTTGCTAGTCTTTTCTCTCCTAAGGCTGTATTGACTGTACTGAACATAAGGTGTTGAACTAGACTTCAACAGACAAGAGCAGAATTTTTCCCAAGCACGGAGAGTTTTCAACAAGTTGATTTTGTGGAATTGTAGGCCTTTCTCTTTTAAATATTCAAAGATGAAAAGTTACTGAAGTTACTTTCTGATCTAAAGTGAAAGACAGCGACAGTTTATATTTTATCAATTAATGAGTGATAAGCCATTTTCTTAAAATCACATGTAACTGAGTATCATCATTAATACGTATGCAACTGTGCCACAGTTATTTCAGAGATAATAGTGAAACTGTCTTAAGATCTCTCATGCATTTCTCATCTGTTTAGAAGTTTTGTATTAAAAAGGATAAAATGGGATTGTAGGTTTACATTCATGTTACTACTTAAAACAGATAATACTTCCTTATCAGGTAGAAATCAGCAAGGAATCATTTTGCTGCCAAAAGCAAAATGAAATTAAACTAAATGAAAAATGTTTCAATTTGACAACCTCCCTAACAACCCACACAGTGTGAAGTTTCAACTAATTTTACTTTTAGAGCTGATCTGTTTCTCTTTGACAAATACCAGCAAACTATTTTTCCACCTGGAGAAGACAGGTGGCCTTCAATTGCCTGAATTTGGCATCCAGAAATCCCCTGCTTGTTGTCTGCATCATTATGAGAAAAGATAAGAATTGGTATGTACATCCCCATGAGTTCCGTAACCTTACCTTTAGTTGTTAAACTACACTGTAATCAAGAAACTGGTCAGGATGGCACTTAGGGATCTTTATAGAAATGCTCTGAATTTGCTATGGACTGCCTCATCTTGTATTCTAGGCAATTGAACAAATACAGTGGGTTTCCAAAGTGATATTTAAATAATCAGTCACTTCTGGACTAAGTATGAAAGCTGTATCTTCAGGAATCAATGTTTTTGAAGATAGTCTAAAATATTTTCTAACAGAATATTTTCTGATTCATTAGTTTGAAAGTGTTTAAAAAGGAAGCAATTTCTATTATATTTTTTTCCCTTCTAGACAATTGATTTAGAGGGATTCAAGCTGTTCATGAAGACTTTTCTGGAGGCAGAGCTACCTGATGATTTCATTGAGCATCTTTTTACATCATTTAGCAACAAAATCTCTCACTGCAGCCCATTAATAAAAAACAAACCCCCGCTCCTTTCTGGAGGTAAGTAATACAGTCAAAGTAATACAAGAACTGAAAGTTGTATGCCCCTGCCACTTACTTTCCAGTAGTGATAAATATGTAGAATTCTAAACTACGTGCACTTCTTTTTTGTTCTGATATTTATGAAATTGGATAACCTTACTCATGCATGAGCAAGGAATATTGTGAAGATAAATGGATATTTAATGGTTTTGTCTTTTTAATTCACAGCAATGTTGCAGCTGAGGCACCAAAGTAGATGATATTTGTTCCATTAATGCTAATCAAATTGCTATGCCTATATGGTCTTGCTGACTACTATAAACACTTAAAAACCTTCAGAGCCTCATGCAGGAGGCTTCTGCTGTGCTTCGCAGTTTCTCTACCCAATTACTGCTGCTTCTCTTAATTAGTTATGGTGCTGCTCTCAGTAATCTTAAATACTTACAGTTACTGATATTTTGAATGCCCTCTAACAGTTAGCAGTGGTTCTTTTATCCTGTGTAAAAGCTATGTCTTTAGTGCAGTGTAAAATTTTAATGCTACATTTAAACATTTTTCTGAAACATGATCCTAAGTGCAGATGATAACATGTTGAAATACTTCCAGGCAAAACAGCGTTTAAAACTTTCAACTTAGAAAACTTTATAAGACTTTTCATTAATTCTTGGAGAATAGAGTTAATATGATTATCCTAACTTGAAATCTTTGATTTGGCACAGTACTAATTTGGGAACTCTGTCAAAATTAAATAGCTAGAAGTAGAAGCTAGGCTAATGTAAAAAAAAAAAAAATCATATACTGAACAGCTGGGATAATCAAGCATTTAGAACATTCTACAAAATGGTTTGATGGGTTCTTAATTGCCAGAATTCTTCATGTTAAGATTAGGTGTCTTCAAATTGCAACTTATGCAGAAACTGTGAATTTGATACAAATGCTACTAGCCAAAATGCTAGCTAGTGTTCTGCAGGTATGAAGCTCTATAGATTTCTGTAGATGCCTTAGTGTACAGTACTAATTGGCTTTGACACTTTTTACGTAGAGATGATAGTGGCTGTTTGTAGGTCACTGTCAGATTGATTGCTGAATTCTGCCCAGTATAGGCTGTCCTCAGCTTCGCTTTTGTTGTAATTCCCTCTGATACTTTTGATTCTTAGGAGCAGTTTAAAAAACAAGAGGAAAAAAAAGTGAATTCTGCTGTTAAAACTGTATTCTAAGTTTCTTAGAATGGCTGTTAACTCCTAAACTTTTTCTCCCTCACACATTTTTTTTTCTATTTAGTAGTTCATTTTCATCTTCAGTTTAGTAGTTTTCCACATGTATATAGTGTAATTCCAGAAGGGCTGGTTGATAAATTGTTATATCCAAAGCATATTTAGAGAGACAGTGCAGTTCATCTCATGCAATAATTATCATTATTTGTGCCTGCAAATATGCTTTTTATAAAGACAATTTGATTGCTTGAGATTTAAACTAGATTTTATTTTTTTATTATTTGAAGCATTCAAAGTGGAGAAAGTAGGTATCTGTACATTGTCATGTGCAAATGAAAATTACAAAAGTTTCATTTTAGGATATCTAGCAGTCTTTAAATGTTAACAGTGGTGGAAAAAAAAACCTGATCATATTGAGAAAGAAATCTGACAGATATATTTGGCATTCTTCTGGAAATTGAGAAGGAACACACGAGCTAGTGAAGATCACAAGCGGGGTTCATAAGTCTCTCTACGTCCCCATTTTTCACTTGGTTTATTTCAGTCCACTCATGTCTGTTTATAAATTGTATTTTCAGTTAAAGTGTCTGAAGAAAGATGGAAACAGATGCCAGGTAAGCATCAGCACTGTAAGTCAGTACAGCATCCACTTGCTTCCACTTCTCATTATGATTTGCCTTGTACCTTGCAGCTGATCATAATCTAAAACTTTATCTTAAAGCTTATATATCATTTTCATTTTTCGGTGGAATGTGACTATGCATTTTGAAGATGAGTGGGTCTCAGATTTATAATAACTTTTATTTTGTGCATAGGATTCACGTGTACTGTTTGTGTAAACTGTGTGATTAAAGATAGCATCTTAGTAACATTTTATACTATCTTAATTTTAATTTTACTTACTGACGTGCAAGCTCCACTAGTAGAATATAGTTCTATTAAATCTATTTTTTCATTTAAATATTTACAGTTAGTGTATATCTCCCTGAAAACATGAACTTCACTCAAATTTTATTTTTTGTATACCAGTTTGCTCTTACTTAATCATGACATTTGAGCAATTATGACAGATGCTTAAATTCTATGTATATTTTCATAATATTCTGTAGTCAGATTTTTCACATTTTAAATATATGTTGCTGTGACACACTATTAGCTCTGTTTTGGGGAAGATTACACATTTGAGTGTTTTCAGAGTTTTCTTTGTCATTAAAACGTCTTTAAATATTATATCTGTAAACAATCTGTAATTAGAAAAAACTTTTACAAGCACTGAGAAATGAACAGGGAGTTGGGCAGGGATTACTTTTCCCATACTTGATTTATTTTTCTTATAGCCTGCTTTACCTGTGCAGTATCTCACTCTCATTTTAATTCTGCATTTTTTTGGATAAACTATGTATGTCAATTGTTAAAAATTTCACAGCTTGATTTAAATTAAGAAATCATATGTGATTCAAATTTAAAAATGGTGCATGCATGTACGTAAAAGCTCTGGATTGTATTCTCTGCTTATATCCTACATTAAGAGTAACAAAGGATGTATTTTGTTTCCAGGTCTGAGACTTAACAAAGGTACCTCTACATCCCGACCTCCTACACCTGCCAACTTGAATTTACCAGATGCGATCCAGCTGAAAGACATTGTTTGTTATTTATCACTGCTAGAAAGAGGAAGACCTGAAGACAAGCTAGAATGTATGTTGTTTATGTGTTTGTTGTGTTTTGTTTTTTTTTAACATAAACTTACTTCTATATATACATTTGTTTTCAAGGAAAACTAATGAAAAATTATATCAAAAGCAAATGAAATACACTGTAGATGGTATGCAGTGTAGATATAGAAGTGATGAATAATCTGTAGAACGTGAGCTAATTCAGATGAAGAATTTGGGCTTTGGGATCTCTCGTGAATTCAAGAAAGTAAAAAGTGATCCCAGTCTATACTGCTTTTGGTAGTGCAATGAACTTTTGATTCTGGGAGTTAGGATTAATAGGATTTTTGAATTAGGGGCCTCATTCATTAAAGCCAAAAATCTCTGTCTGCTAAAAAACAAAAGCATACAAACAAACCAAAAAGCAAAAAAACAAAAAAAGAGAAACAAAACAATGTGATCTGCAAATCATAGAAAAAGAAAAAAATAGTATGTTTCTCCTTTATGGAGTTCTAGAAGCTAATTTTTTAAACAGGTAAACAATCAAAGTTCTTCTAGAGACCAGGCATATTTTAATATACAAAACTATCAAAATTATATGGCTTCAGTGCTGTATGGAAAACAAAAGTTTAGTATGATAGGAAACAGAAAGCTGTTGGAGAAAGAAATTCATTACCAGGTTACCTGACCATGTGTTTTTGAAGAACTCTGATGTTTTGTTTACCTATACTTAAGTTACAATTAAAATTTTGTACTGTAAGTTTACTGACAGAAATTGTAGAGAGTCAGCCCTAAATTTGGTAATCATAATTTCGTATTATGTTATTAAAATATGAGGCTGTATTTGTCTATGTGCATTTCAAACATAAGCAAATGGCAGCTAGGATTCTAGGACTGAATTCAGCTAACAATATGGTAACTGTTTCACTGTATAGCAATTCATGCAAACCATATTAGAGCTGTTAGGAACTCTATGCACTGAGCATGATGTGAAAGGAAGAGCAAGTGCCTCCCCTGGTGTCAGAAACCAGTACAATGAAAAAGGGAGGGAGATGAAAGAACAGGATTATTCTAATGTAGAGAATATTTCACAGATTTTCCCAAGCAGGAACTGTATAGGCAAAAGACTATGTACGATTTATGAGCTAAATCCTTGTCTAGTATATGTATTGTATTTATATATTAAATATATTTGAGGTTATAGGGATTTATTACATGAATTAAGGGTATGGTTATTGCTTAGATTGATGTGCTACCCTGTCACTTTTTAGTGTATAAAGTTTAGACTACATCATATCACTAGTGTGTAGATTTCCCTAATGATTATATCTGAATCCTCCTTATAAATGAATGGTATAATTTAACCCTTTGTCTGAAATAATTGTATAATAGGTCTGTGGCTGCAGAGTAGAATAAGAATTAGTTGCAGTGGAGGGGAAAAAAAAAAAAAAGAAATATTCCAGAGTTGCCAGCACAATGAAACTCACGTGTTTAAAACATTCCGCATGTCTGTTCTCAAACCATCTATGGACTAAATATATCCCAAACTGTTATAAAAGAGATGCATTGGAATAATTAAAGTTTTCTTTTTAAGGACATACTACATATAGTTAGTACATTTATGATGTTAAGCACCTCTGTGCTCAGTGGACCAACTTGTAAACTTGATCTGCAGAAACTCTATTCTGTCCTCCCGCGCTGTCATTCTTGTATGTGTAAAAAAGGCATCTTGTAAATATGCAGGGCACTTCTGAGGAAGCGAACAGTGGTATTCCATGGCTCAACTTCTCTTCCTTTAGTGACCTCAATGGTGGAAGTCATTTTAGCTGACAATTGTTTGAGTTTTATCAGGGACATGACATCAGCACAGACCATCTTCTTAATTTGTATGTTTTTCTCAGTATGTTCATGGATGCTGGGCACATATCTCCAGTTCCCCAGTTTCTTCTTGAATGGCCATAATTTACAACTTTTGGTGCTTCTGGGATGCCATCTTTTATAACTTCTATGCTTAAAAATCCAGAAGTTGCAGGGGAAATTGCAGCAGTGCAGCAAGTGATCTAATATTTTCAATTATTTTTTAATATATTTTTATACATCATTTGCAAAAAGCATGTACTCTTGTAATAGATAGATGTGGTCATTCAGTGCTGCCATGTAAGGGTGTGAGACAGAAATATGAAGAATTAACTTGGGCTCTGTAGTTTTTATTAAGATTTTTGCTCAATTATTTGTATCATTTTGCTATTGTTCGTTTTTCACTTAGATTGGGTAAATCAGCAAGAACACAGATATTTAGAAGGGTGTGAATGGAAAATGTTTGCATACCATGCCAGCTGGGTAATTATTCAATCTAAACAAGCACACAGATACCCAATACATATATGAGTGGAGATTTTGCTACGGAAGTGGAACAGTTATAATTGTACTAATCTCTATTTTCAAATGACAAATTTGAAGCACTGATTGGTGCTAAAGGTAAAAATAATATACAAGTTGGAAACACTGCTTCTCTGGAAAGAGGAATGCACAGGAGATGCTGAACACCTGTTGCTTTTGTGATAATTGTAGCATATTTTAACCGTTGTATTGCAATAGCACTGGAGGAGGATAGAGAACCAAATGACTTTATTGCTTAGTGATTCATTGATTCTCTATGGAAACTGAATGCTTAATGCTATTTCTGCCATATAATATTAGCTGTCTTACATTGAGCACAGCTCAGCAGCTTTGGCAGAAGTGTATTAGCAGGGATATTACAATTTCTGATGGCTTTAATGCTAACTGTTATATTCTACAGAAGCAATGTAATTCACAAGCTAAGAAACATATTCGTATAGGCTTTTTAGACTGTAACTAATAGACTTTTGTAACTTGCAACAAAGCACTAGAGTAAAAATTGTATATTACAGCTCTTAAGAGTGGTGTGAGATCACATTGGCTAGTACTGATTATGTGGTGGAAAGTTTAGTGATCAACTTGGGAAGCAGATACGGGATGAAAGGATACAATCCAAGCCATGTACCTGTGAAGTGTGTTTTGCTCCAAGTCAAAAGTAGTCAAATTCTTTTCAAACTTCGCTCTAATCACTCCCTTCTATTGTTGCCTGAAAAAGATAACTTTTTCTTGCAGAATTTACTGGACTGTGGGACCATTTTCATATGGGTCTATGTGTGGTACTGCTCACTGCTGAACAGGCCATACGTTATTTTTTTTTTCAAGGCATCTAATAAGTTGATTACTGCTTGGGTTTTGCTATGAATTGAGGCATAACAGCATCCTGCAACCACCTGTAGATAAGCTCTCTTCTTACTTCTTTGAAAATAGATCTTCTAGGGATTAGGGAGTTCAGAACTCTGACAAACTGCATCACAGATGATAGGAACAAAGAGTGAGGCATGCCTGTGGGCTCCTGGTTTTTCATCTTTAGGCTTTTAGAGCCTTCTACTAAAGGTAAAATCTTCCTGCTTTGCAGTCTTTTGCTCTCTATGATCAGCTGAAGAAGCTGCTTTGAAATATTTTTGTAATAGTGGATGTGCCCACTCTTGTGGCAGGAGGCAGATAGTGATAGAAATATGAAAGTATATATTTCTTCTGGATACCACCAAAATCCAATGATTCTTGTCTGGACAGATCTTCAGCATATTGGCAAGACTGTATTAATCTAGTTTGGTACAGGTAGAATTTATGCTAGCAGCCTGTGAGGAATTTTTTTTTTGTTGGATTCTCCTAATTAGGTACTAAAAATAATGATCTTCTATTTCATTTAGTGTAGATCAGAAAGCATTTTTAAAGCAATTGTAATGGCTGCAATCAGGAGACTGGAATAGCATTGTAACTTAAATGTGCTTATGAATATTTGGTTGATGAACTGCATGTTTTCCTGTATATGATGTCATGTCTGAGAGTCTTTTGGTTGTACTTCCTGTCAGTGCAGATCAGACCATCTCTGGGAAAAGCCAGGAACACATTCACAGGTTAGGTTCTGGAGGGGTTGTGTGGAAACGGTGCAGTTATGTCTCACTGGAAGCAATGTCGTAGGAGATGCAGTGAGAGAACCTCATGCATTGCAGAATCTTTGGTGGATCTGCAGTTAGTATAATCATGCTAATGCTTGTCTTTTGAAACTCAGTTTGTCTTTTTTTTTTTTTTTTTTAATTAAAGAATGTTGTTACTATGTTTTCTAACTGTGTTTCCTTCTTTTTGTTTCCTTTTAGTTATGTTTCGTTTATATGATACAGATGGAAATGGATACTTGGATAGTTCGGTAACTTTAAATATTTTGTTGTGTTTTAAGACTATGTCCTAATGGTATAGCTGTAGAAAACGATGTGACTCTTGAATTAATAGAACCACTGTAAATTATAGTCAACAGAAAGTTGCCTGTTTTGAAAGCAAACTTTGAGTATTTCTTCCATTAAGCTGCTGTTTCTTCAACCATAAACATTTTCAAATGCTGACAGTGCTACTGTGGAGTCTTATTTTATACTCTTCTTATTCTTAATCATATTACTATACGGGATACATTAATATGGCTCCTAAAACTTTAATATGCCTCTTGGAGATGTGTATGAAAGCAACATTAGCAAAGATTTCATTAAAATGGGAAGGCATTCCATACCTGAGTTTCAGATGTTCTGACCATCTGCCTTGTGTACATATGTCAAGCACTTTGGAAAATCAAGTCATACATATAGCAGTATACAGTATATCACTTTTAACTCCTTTTGAGATTTAAGTGAAAAGGTCATGTGTCTCCATAGTTCTTACTTAATTTAGCCTTCAGGTTTTACCTACAGTTGTTATAGCTATATGAGGATGTGTTCCAAGTGCTCCAAAATTTATGTAACTTTTTTTTGTTGTTGCTTTTTTGTTTTACTTAACAGTTAAAGTAAATATAAAATTTCTCTAGACATCTCTGGTAAAATCCAGTCAGAAGATACATGTATACTTATTTCCTACCATTAATATTAATGTAGAATTTCTGTCTAGTGCATGCCTCAGCTGACTGACTATAGGGGGAAATCTTTGAATTTTAAATCCAAATAATTCAACTTCATGAGTTTTGATTCTTTAAACTAATGGGGTTGAAGTCAGAGTAGTCCTGAGAAAAAATTAAAGTCAGATAATATGGAATAAATGTTTTTTTTTTTACTCTTTCTTTCATGTCAAGTAAGGAAAAATAGATTTTTCCTAATTCAGGAAGCATGCCAACTAGGAGCTAACAGTTCCTTCTCACACAGAAAGCACTTTTTGTGAAGGCAGATGAATCTATGCAAAATATTTACTTTTAAAAAATATAATAGTTTTCTTGTTCTGCTCAGTGTGTCTCTGATTTTCAGTTTCACTGGTGAAAAGTTAATTAAAAAAAAATAATAATTGTTTGTCAGTTAATGATTAGAAGTGAAGTTGTGTTTTTTTTTTTTTTCTGTATGTTTCAGCGCTGATAGTCACTGAATGCTATAGGTTTGAATTAGGACTTGCTTGCAGTAGAATTTACAATTTTAATATTGCATTAAATATGGTAACTCTTTTTTTTCATCTGTAGGAGCTGGAAAATATCATTGCACAAATGATGCATGTGGCAGAATACCTTGAATGGGATATTACTGAACTGAGCCCAGTAAGCATCACCAGTTTTTGTGGTTATAGAGGCAATTTTTATTCGTTTTGTGATTCTTCATGCCAACATGAGATTCTAGATATTAGCAAGATAGAAATAATAATAGTCTGTGCTTGACTATGACGCTGTAAATTAACACTTTTTTCACATCTTTATCTGATTGTATCTGCTATGTAAAGCACTCTTTGGTAAATTTGAATGCTTTTCTTCAGTGCAAATAGTAATTAATATGTATAACACAACTGATTTAATCCTGAAAATGTCTTAACATTGATTGTCTCTTGCTTGTACATAGTAAGTACACAAGGGGCACTTTTGTTTGGGATATTTAGGTGCTAATTGTTAATATTAGATTCTATTAAAATGTAAATGTATAGGTACCATATAACTTCTGTAGTTGTTTTTGCACATAGATGAGAGATCATAGATCCTAAATGTCTGGTTGTGCTACAGTAAGGAATTCATTAGTCTTTTCAATAAACTGTGTAGATTCTTCATGAAATGATGGAAGAAATTGACTATGATCATGATGGCACTGTTTCTCTAGAAGAGTGGATCCAAGGAGGAATGACAACAATCCCACTCTTGGTCCTTCTTGGATTAGAGAATGTAAGTATTAATATCAGAGTGTCAAGTTTCTGCTTGCATGTCAGCATGGTCCTCAAGTCTTTTTTCTCTATAACCTTTGTTATGAATGGCTTTACTTCTCTTTATTATGTCTGAATGATGTATAAAAAACACAAGTGTGCCTTCAAAGTCAGAGCTACATTTGAATGTCTGAAACAACATCAGCACTGAAGCTGAAAGCTATGAAAAGCTCATTAGTTTATTCTATTGACAGCATATAATGAATTGCTAGCTGCAGAAGCATCTTGTAAGAATGTTTTATTACCCATGCATATTTTACATCTGTCTTGGAGTGGTGTCTTGGCAACTCCACATGTGCTGTGTAGCTTAACTGCAGTGGATTATGGGGCAGTCTAGTCTGGAAGGGACTTTAGAGATCATTTGGCCAGCATCATATTGAAAGCAAGTGTCAGGTTATTTTATCCACTGCCTTTTCAAATCCAGTCTTGAACATTTCCAGTGAGATGGGCCTAGTTCTGTGGTTCCCAAAGGTTAATTGTTCTCAAGAAAAAAAGATTTCTTTTTCGCATCAAGATGGAATTTCTCCTGCAGTGATTCTTGCCTGCTAACTCTTATCCTATCATAATACCTCAGTGTGAATATATGTTCTTCCATCTTTTCAACTAGCTGAATAAACTGGGCTAAGAAACAGTATCAGAATGAACACTTAGACCAAAGGATGCAGTATAATGAAAGAGGAGCTGATCGCATTAAAGATAATGCGGATATAATACAATCGATAATTTATACCTGTTTAACGCAGCTGTTTTAGCTCTGGCATGTTGCCAGTGCCACCTGCTGTCCTGTATTTTTGCTAATTTTGAGCACATGTATCTCAGCATATGTTTCAAAAGTTTTTTTTTAATTTGATATAAAACATTTTCTTTTCTGAAGTCTTTTCCAGATACTAATGCCAAACTATACATAACATTTATCTTTCCCCATTCATTGCTATGTCCTGAACTAAATCTAGGCTGTAGTCACTCCGTAGTATCTTATTTTCACAAAGAATAGCCAGATTTTCCATATAGAAGACAACTGTACATTTAGCAGAAGACAAAATTCTTGCAAAATAATAATAGTCAAACATTTACCTCTTACTAATCAACTTATCACAGAAATAGCTGAACTGATGAAAACTTACAATCCATTTGGATCACTGTATGTACTAATTTCCTAATTCTAGGTATATGGAAAAAAATGTACTATTTTCCTTTCATCAAAAGGCAAGTCTATGTCAGATTGTATTCTTTTATTTCCACATATTTAACCTAAGCACAGGGTAGCAAATTCTCTGTAAGAATTAGTATAGGAGATAACTGATGGTCATTTTCAATATGTATTTCTCATTTGCAACTGATGTTGCAGCTTTTCTGGGAGCATTTTTCAGTGTCTGCACTTCTTCCTTTCTCCATTTAAAACTACTTAATTCTGTGATAAATTAATGTAAGTCTTTCTGTAGAGGATAATTTTCATGTTAAATCAAAAGCCATGTTGTTAAAAGGAAGCTATGTAAATGTACGTTATTAGACAATTTATCCTTTTGAGTATTTTTACTAGTTATTGGGCAATAACTGGTCATTTTACTGAGGAAATAATAAAAATACATAAACAGTGATCAAAATTCTGTAACTTGCTATCATTGTGGGTCAGTTTCTATCAACGCTACTCCATAAGTTGAAGAAACTGAAATGAACACGGGTGAAGAAAGTGTTATAATTCAATGGAAAAAAAAAAAAAGAAAAAAAAAAAAGAAAAAAAAAAAAGCCTTTTGTCATTTAGGATCGTTTTATTAATTAAACATCAGTTAAAAAAAAAAAAAAAAAGGATAGGAAAGATAGGATAACAATTGTGGTTTTTTCCATATATTTTACTTTAATGTGGATTAGGTAGCTATAGCTAGCTATAACCTGCAAGTTTGCAGGCACTGGTGTATAAAAGTCTTTAGTTTCAGCAGAGGAAAGGATTTTATTCCCTTCTTAGTGACCACTAGATGTCACCGTTGCACTATAGTTGGTAATTTGTAGCTGGTGGAAAGCTGCCCTAAGGTAAAATTCAGCAACAGGAAATGTTTCATAGCGACCATAAATTGTCATCAGTAATCTGAAAACAGGCTGCTGTGTTTTTCTTTTAAAACATTCTACCTACTTCATCTTCTCTCCTGAAGCAAATGTACTCTGAGCATTTATAAAATAAAGAAACAAATCTCAATGTGGCATAAAGATTTCTGTAAAAATGTGATGATGCTTCAGTTAAAACAGAAGGCAATGATCATACAGTTTTTCTTTGGATCGTCAAGCAGCAAATGTTTTGATATTCTTTGAAGATAACTTTCGAATAGAATACTTGAGTGTGAGTCCATGTGGGTAACACAAATTTTTATACTGTTTATTACATTATTGATGGTTTACTTTTTGAGCTCTGAGTATACGAAACTGGTATGAAATTGGCGACTTGAGAACATTTTCAAGTACGGTGTTGGATCTGTTGCACAATATGGAGACTCTCAGGCTGAGCACTGAAATGGTTAATACACAGGCAGTTTGGCAAATTTATATTCCTTTCGTTCAGAGAGGAATAAGGGAGATCTGCCTGCCTGCCTATATAAGAATTTGTAGCTTACTTACACTCTGAGTGCTAACTCTTCAGTTAGAAGTAGATTTGCCGTAAGAGATCATGAGAACTATTTTAGCAATATCATTGCGTGTCATTGCCGACAGAGGGAGTTATGTTAATGCTTTGTGAGACTTCATACCAGGAGCTGCAAAGAAAAAAGTTTGCATACCAGTTTTTTTGACTATGTAGTTTACTTCTATGCTACGCTCACTCCTACTGCTTTGTAGGAGGTTTGAAAGTTCCTTTCCTTTTGCCTATAGATTGTTAAAAGTCCAGGAGAAATCTTTCTGAGTGTAAGATAAGTAGCATTTCACAAGGAGATACAAATTTAATGTTACTTAAAATACAATTACTGCAGCATTTCTAGTGACTACTAATTCAGAAACAGAGAAACATGGTGGTGTGACTAATGATGAAGCTTGTCTCAAGAAATGAATTTACCCTCCTGTGCTTCCTTTTCTGTTCCCTGATGTCATTTGATGTACTTCTTAATATCTAAGCGTTTCTCGGTGATTAGAATATTACACTGGTGAGTTGAAGACTGTGGATAAAAATTTTTATCAGTTCTTCAAATATTTCTTCCTCCCCTCCCCCTC